AACGTCACCATCCCCGGAGAGCTCCCGCCCGCCCCCACGTCCCCCCGTTTTGGGGAGCCCGGAGGGGTGCAGTGCGACGAATCCCCCCGGTACCCGCCGAGCCCCGCGTGGTGCCGGTCCCGGGGCAGCCGCACGCACCGTGCAGCCGGCGCAGAACAGCTGCCCCAGCGCCTCGCGGCAGAGCGGGCAGGAGACCTACGGACCTCAAACACAACTCTGCCCTTCCTGGCCCCCGATCAAAGTACTACAGCACAAAAATCCTCCGCGATTCTTATCATCCGTGCTGCAAAACACACAGAGCGTAGCCACAGGGAAATACCAGCCGTCGGTACGTACATCAGTGGCCTTCTTTTCAGCCTGCTCTAGCTTTTCCTGGGCGTCTTTGAGAGCCTCCGAGTACTTGTCCAGCTCATCTTCAGTTCCTTTCAGCTTCTTCTGCAGAGCTACCAGCTCATCCTCTACCTTTCCAGAGAGAAAAAAACCAAAGTGAGCATTCTGATGTACTATCAGTTACAGTTTAATGTGGTTCAAACCTCTCTTTACTATTAGTTTTAACCTAACAGAACATGCAAAGAGTCACAAAAGACCAGATCAAAGTTCTGCTGGGGCAAGTAGTTTGAGAAGGACTGGGAGCAGTTGCCAGGGAAAGATCATCAACAACCTATCAGCTGCAGAACAACATTCCCTGCCTGCACACACAGGATCTGGTTTAAAACGTAACTCGGTATAAGCCCTTTTTCACCTCATTTCTATTTTCGACTCCACAACACCCTGCAGCAGTTAATTCTACAGCATAATTATAAATGTTTTAAAATTACATCCTTCTGTTTGTTAGGAAACTATTCGATTCCTGTACAGCTAGAAAAACCGCATGGTTGTTCCCTCATCATCTGCTGCTCGTTGTTCCAAGACACGTCAAACCAAACTTGACACCCTGGAAGCAGGAGGGAGCAGGTCTGGCCCACGACAGACCCTGCTGTAAGAGGGAGGTGGGACTCGATGACCTCCAGAGGTCCCTTCCAATGGCCGATTGTGGGCCAACAAGGTACGCTCCATCCTACCATGAGGTTCAGACTCTCTCCTCCATACCATATAAATCCATATTGTACTCCGGAATGGTACTATTTATAGCCTGCCGGGAGACTGTCTCATGCTCCCTCAAGAATTTACATTATCAGGAGGCTTGCTGCTGATAAGGGTGCGCCTGTGAACCCATCTGCTCCACCATTCCATTTGCAATACAAAACAGCTCAGTCTGTGGAGAAACTGATTGAACCATTTAGTTCCGCCTTCACGTAAATTTAGTCTATCAAAATAGTTCACTCAAAATAGTTTGTGTTTTAGCGCACTGACTTTCTTCATGCTAGCTTCGAAAACAGCTCTAACATTTTTGGTAGCCCTGCTGTTCTTGAGCATTGTTACTTTGCTGTACTTTCACTGAGAGCAACCAGATCGGGTGAGAGACCTGAATACGCTTGCTTGGATGCTTGAACAGAGGGACACGAAGAAGGATGAAGGAGGTGATGCTTACTTTGTGCACGACATTAAAATCACTACTTCAGTACTGTGCCTGCATTAAAAAAAAGCAAGCTGAAAAATCTGAGACAATTTGGAAAAGCGGAGTAGGATCAAATGTTTATTTTTCTCTTTTAGCTTTTTATTGTGAATTACCCTCATACAGATACTTTAAAATTCCCACAAGTGTGTCACTTGTCACTGTAGGAAATCACCTTTGATAACTAAGTGTGAAGGAAGGCTAAGCATTCGATCCCCAGTAACTGCTCCGAGTAACACTCTGCTGGGGCTGTTACGAAGTGCAGAAAGATTAGCTGTGGAAACTGTAGCCCAACAGAACAGCATCTGACCAGCTCCTCTGAAGCTAGGAAAGAAACAGCGGCTACAACACATGGCGGTGTGTAGAAGCTTACTGTAACGACACGGGAGAGACAAGTAGTTCTCCTTATGTTGGGGGTGGAGGGGGAAGACAGCAGCTGCTGACCCTTTTGGAAACATTTTCCTGTTGCTTTAGCTAAATGGATGATCAGTTGAAAGTTTAGGATCTCAAACTGAACTTGAACATAGGAAATATTTAGCTAAATGAATGCTAATAATGTGTTACAGCAGTCTGGAAGATGTAGTAGAGGCAGGCACATTCAGAGGATGTAAAAGAAAAAGACATGGTAATTTTACAAGAAGTGCTATGAGAACCTTGAGTGTAATCAACTTACATTTCAAGATCGTTTTGAAAATGAGGTAGACACCCAGAATAAAAACCACTGAAAAGCCAAAGACTATGAAAATGTTATCACTAAAATTCAGTTAAAAGAAGAGCTTTCAAATTAAGATATTTCTGATTATTCTTAACAAAAAAAATAATACAACATATCTCCTGTTGAGTTACAGCTGGCACCTCTAAGGGCGCTCTGTATACCAAGGACAAGTCAAGTGAGCTTTATTAATAACTTCAAGGAGAGGCTCAATTAATGTTTAGACACAGCTGACTCTCCAGGAGGCATTAACACTAGTCCTACAGGTGTTCAAGGTATACAGCATTGATTCTGAGTATGTAAGGCCTTTTCCATGGAATCACAAGCACAAGAAAATTACGGCAACTACGTAAGATTCAAGAAAACTTTGACAAAGTACTCTTAACTGTGGATAGTGCTAATTTTGCAAAGACTCAGATAGCTGAAAAGAGAAGTTAATACCCAGCCCTGGCTGTATCAGTGTAACATCACAAAAAGGCAAAAGACTTCAAAAGAAGATCAACAGAAAACCCAACTTCATTTTGTTTTCTGAATCAGAAAGTTGCAACATAGTATTTTGTTACACTTCCTTCCACAGCGCGTACACAATCAGTGATTTTATTTCTGCTTACCTGTTTGCATTTGTCCTCAGCTGCCTTCTTATCTGTTTCAGCCTGCTCTGCTCTGTCAATGGCATTCTCCTTGTCTAACTTCAACATCTGCATCTTTTTCTTGATAGCTTCCATTTTTGCTAAGGGATAGGTTGTATCTGTCACGCAACTGAAAGAATTCCGAAGGGTAAAGTTTTAGATTTTTAACAGCTTGGGCAGAGAAAGAAGTTGCACCCAGCCAAGTCACCGGGAAAATGAGCTCAAGTGGTTGCAGAGAGCTTTAAAGCCAGAGACCCCTGGACAAAACCCATATCTATTGGCCTCTTCTCTGATCTTTCGTATACAGCCTTTCTAAGGAATGAGTTGGAACAGACTCACTAGAGGAATCTTCACCACTCCATCATCTCCTTATTTGGGTCCTGTTTTCTTAAAGAGAGAACTGTTTCCATTTTTAAGCTTCTGACAGAAGCAAAAGTGTTGACGTATGACACATGCTTGAAAGCAAGCTTATTAGCACCCCTCTGTGTTTGCAGAGCAATTAAACAGCCCAGTAGATCTATGGGGATGGCTTGGCTTCCAGTAACAATGGCATAAGACTAATGAAGGAAAGGGAAGGTTCTTTTTGGATTACTCCAAAATAAATCTATGTATAAAATAAAGGTCTACACTTACGAGGTAGCTAAGTTTATGTTATAAAAACATGCAGGATGTAAGACAGCAGTTTGGTTGGTTTTTTTTTATTTTTTTTCTGTGAAAATAAGCATATTTTGTGTAAGGTACTAGCTATAATCTGTAATGGTATAATCCATAACAGACATCAGATTTGGATCCCAGGTTCAGGCTCAAAGGCATTCAGTGAGTTTGAGTGCCTGTCCTTGAAATTTCGCTCACTAAATACCCAGGGAACTGAACAATACACCTGAAGCTGCAGTCTGACGAGCACTGTAAATTATTTCTTCTGCTGTATGAAGCAGTTACCTTCTCTCTGTAGGGCAAGGCAAGAGGAGGCTCTGGGAAGAACATCAGGAGCAGCTCCACTGAGGACACCAACAAGAGCATCCAACGGCCCCAGGATGAGCCCTGTTTCCTTTCCCAGCCCTATTAAACACATTCCCAAGCCCCAGCTGCCCCCTCCCATCCCTTCCCATGCTCTAGCTTAGCTTAGCCCCTGACGCCTGCTTTGCCCTGACTGCAGCCAGGCCTTGCTTACTCCACCTCCCAGAGCAGACTGCAAACACTTACTGACTTTGCTACACAGGGGGACCTGCATGCTCTCATATTCCACCATTTCTTTCCCAAATTCAGGTCCCATTAATCACCCCATGATGATTTCCCCCCCAGTTCTACCCCTGCTCCGCTCTCCACAGCCCCGTGCTCCCTCCCAGGCCACACATAGCCCAAACTCTCTGCACACCCTCACAAACCCCGGCGGGCCTTCCCAGCAGCACTTGCAGCATCCCCAGCCACGAGGGGACTAACACAAGGCCCAGGAACTCTGGAGTATCCTCTGGAATGAGGTGACACAGCACAGAAAGACCTTCAGGAGAGACTTCTGAGGAAAAGTTGCCCCTTATTTATCAAGCTCAACGACAGAACTGACGCAAAGCCAATACCAGCGCAATGCCCATGAGGGGGGCCAGAGCCCCCCAAACCATCCTCAAAGTACCACCAGGCCCGTCAGAGCACTCACTGGGCTCCTCAGGCTGCCTTTTGTCAGAGATTTACTGCTGTTTCGATTAAAAATAGAAACAATGCTCACACTGCTACTAAACCCAG